ATCTAATGCAAGCATTTGCATTACGGAAAAACAAATACTTCCGTAAAACTGGTAACAGTAATCTTTATTATATTACAATATATTACTTAAGATAATTATTCCTTTTAGTTTGCAATTATAATACACTTTTGTTGTGAAAATGGAACTGTATTCTGCATGCGACGTGTATGCACTTTTGCACTTTTAAAAGTATATATATATGTGTATATATAAACAGGCTTAGATATAATAGTCATATATAAGCAGACATATATGTATATTAAAAGGCATTACTTGAAGATGATCAATTCGTCTTTAATCTTGAAGAATGATAGCAGGGGCAGAGAGTTGCCTTGATCACTGTTAGGTATCATCAGCAAGACCTTTCCTCTTCATACTGAGTAGTTTTTTATTTTTTGCAATGGTCCCAAGCAGGCAAGTAGCAAAAATCCTGCTTTAAACAGCTCCAAGGTCAGTAAATGAGCAGTTGTTAGGTAATAAATATGAGGAGATGCCCATCCTGTGATGATTCAAGTTAATGAATTCAGGATTTAGTTCCTTTATATGAATTAACTAGATACATTTTTGAATAGCTACTTAGTCTATTCATATAACATAGTTGATGGTATGGGATTGAAAGACATTTAGAATAATCTTCTAATTTGCTCCCTTATAATATCTCTATACCTAATTGTCTTAAATATTTAAGGTTTCTGTGCATATTTGAAGCACACTTCTGATAAATGGATTTTACTTTAGAGTCAAAAGTTGACCCATATAGCTCTAAATGCACAGAAGAACATGAGCATTCACCAGCCTCAAAATGCCGCTTTAACTTTTGTGCCACTGGTGAGTGGAATATCCTGCCCTACCTATGACCTTTCTCTGAATCCTGAGGTGCTGAGCATGTTCTGAGCACACTCCATGTTAGATGGTAGGACAGATGCAGGGAGCCCCCAGTGCAAGGATTATAGCAAGGCCCAGATGGTTTTGTCTCTGGTCCGCCAGGAACTCAATATCTAGAAGGTGCAACTGCTTAGAAGTTCAGGCAGTAGCTGAGCGGCATTTATGGATCTTGCAAATCGAAAGATCCCAAACTGAATGTGTTTAGATTTTTTTTTTTTGAATTAGACTTCAGTGCTTATTTAACTTACTGGAAGTAGCTTAGCTTAAAATGGAATGACATAATCAGTTGTATCAGAGTAATTATCTGCAAATAAGCTCATTATGTGTCAGTTTAAAAAGAATTGTACCATCATTTATGTGTGTCTGATTGCAAATCTAAGTAATTTCATTCACGTCTTTTAGGAGAACAAGACTTCAATCTTTTTAAGGAATCCGTTGTCTTTTTCTTCCACTTATTCAGCTCTCAGAATTTGAGGATGTGTGGTTGTGTCTAGAGGACGGACCCAAAAGGAGTGTTGGTGCCTTCATAGGTGAAATGCTGGCGTCATCCCGGCCCCGTTTCCTGACTCTTAGCAATAGCCCAGTACACGGTTCTGTACAATGCCAGCCTCAGCCTGGTGCAAACTACCAGCTGTTGTCAGGAAGAGGTTCTCAATAGATAAACCAGCTATAGGATTTAACGAGTTATTGTTTCTTTTCCGCACATGGGATCCCTTTTAATATAGAGGCTGTTCTACCTCCTCTTCTTCAACTGTTGGGTTTGTCCCAGTGCTACACATGTTCCTGTTTGCAGTTATAATAGATAAGCTTCGTTAATGGCTCTACAAGGAACAGGCTCTAATCAAAGCCAGCCTCTTTTGAAGAAGTGTATTATAACCTTTTTCAGCATTCAAAGCTGTAGGATCCATAATCAGGGTTATTTTCTCTGAATATGTTTCTTTACATATGTTGGCTGTGTTTGGGCAGCCTCCTCCAAGACCTGTTTCCATAAACAGCCCTTGGGAGCTGCAGCCTCCCCCTGCATCCCAGCCAGGGGAAGTTGCCAAGGCTGGGTCTTCCCACATCCCTATGGCCATCGAGGAGGCAGACCCGCATTTGAAATGTTTTCAACAACTTAAGTTATTTTCACTCTCTGGGCCAGAATGCTACCTCAAAAGAGATTTTGACACTGCTACTTCTATTACTGAGGAAATAGATGTTTTTCATGGCTTATAGTGGCGTTCTGGTAACATAAAGGGAGATTTTACATCCTCCTTTATACCACCAACCTCATGTGCCTTTCTGAGATGGACTCTTCCTTGTCTTTCTTTTGCCTCTCTGAGCAGGACGAGAACTAACACGGTCACAAAGGAGTGAATTATCTCCTGCAGGTTTAGCAAGCTGAAGCAGCTCGCGGAAGGTTAATGTGAGCCCTAGTGTTGTCCAAGGGGATGAGACTGTGTGGCTGGAAACAGGAGGGGCAGGGGCGCTCCTGTCTCTCATGAGAAGCTGCTATAGGTACTTAATTTCCTCGGTATGCTTAAGTTTGTTGCAAATCCCACAAGAATGTAGGCAAGCAACTAAGGAGAAATGTCATTGGGCACCCAAAGGGGAAAAGGCTGGAGTTTGTGCTTTATTTGGCTAATATAGTTTTGGTGCTCATTGGACTGCTATTCTTGCAGTTTTCAAATAGAAACATAATTTTAAAATAAAAACACTTTGTTTCAAAGCTGTGAAGCAAATGTTTTAATTGCATCTTATTTGTCCTGAGTTTGGGATAACTTTGGTTTCCCTGATGTTGCATCTTGTAGAAAGTGAGCTGTTAACCAAGATATGTGCGGAGCTTTACTTTTCACTTTTCTCCATTTCTCATCCTTTCCTTCCAGCTTACTTGTCTTCCCTTAGGAATTCCCCTAAAGCATTCCTCCAATTTGAGTAGCACTAAGGGGAGAGAAGGGCAAAAAAAAATTCTCTTGTATATCTCCACTTAAGATGTTTTCCATTATTCCCTGCTCCTCCTTATTCCCTTCTGGCTGCATGATTGACATTTTACCAACTTCTAGTGGTTTGTTCCAGTACTGCTTTGCTAGGAATTGGCTTGAAAACCGAAGCATGATTTCCTCTTGCAAATACCCTGTAGCAATATCAGCCAGTTTGCTTCCTCACACCTCAAGTGCAATAGGATCCTGTGTCTTGCGCTCTGCCACGTTTTGGTGCTGTGCGAAGCCGAAGATAATGTAGTACAGATACAGACTAAGCTCAAAAAATTGGCTGTTGGTGTATATGGGATATCAGGACAAAATATGCACATTTAGTGTTAGATACTTTTCTTGATGCTTAACGTAGCTTTTTGATGAGGTGGTAGGAAGTCATCTGTTTTCTTGGGTTTTTTCCTAAAGAACTGTAGTGCTTGACCTGATTTTGTAAATAGTACTGAGTTAGTAGCACCCACCCCAGTGCTTACCAGGTGGTTTGCAGGCTGGTGGGGACCATTGGTGTTTTGACACACTGATACATCTTTACAGAGTTTGCACAAGTTTAAGCGAAGCAGTAAAGTTGAGACAACTGGTATGTGGATCAATTCACAAATGCACGATGTATGCAAGGAGTTTGCAGTGGCTATCCAGCCAGCCGAAGGAGGTTTTCTTCTGGTGACAAAATGCTGGAGGCTACTCCACACTGTCCTCTTCAGGGTGCTGTCTACAAGGCCTCAGTCGGGATCATGTTGAAGATGAGCATCTCAGAGGGTATTTTAGTTCCTCAATGATCCAGTCCGAGCAACCCTTACGACTCCATCCATGTTCTGCGTGGATGTGTGCGCTGCCCTTCGTAGTGCTGCGGTGCAAAACCTTATCCTGAATGGGAAAGAAAGTCACAGCTACTCACTATTCTAGTGTTTGCAGTTTTTAACAGTGTTTTGAGATTATTTAAAATAATTTTCTCCACAACACCATTAGAAAGTAAGATTAAGACTAAATATTTTGGTTTTTTTTCCAGTATACATTTGGTCTGTTTTATTTCATTAGAAATCCCACACGTGTGCTGTAGGCATCGTTTGGATAGACCAGTAGCTTTATTCTGCAGCTTTAGCCAGAAACAGGCCTGTCTTTTCTCAGTAACATGGACAAATTTCAGACCTTGGCTAAAGATAGGCATGATCAGTTGAAAGCACGCTATTTGAAAAAAGGAATGTAGTTGTGGAAAATGTAAAATATTCTGGGGCTAAGTGAACATATAGGGTTACTATACGTTATATAGTGTAATATATGTAATATATAAATTACTCTATGTAATATAATCAATATGTGACAGTTTTACCAATTGTGAATGTTAGCTTGCAGCAGTGCACTCTTGGTGGCTGGTGAGATCTGATTAGGGCGCTTGCTTTGTAGAACCCCAAAATATTGAAAATTTCTCTCTCTTTTTTTTTTTTAAATGAACATGTCCACAAAAGTTTAGCCCAAGTAATTTGCAAAGTCGGTTTTCAAGGAAACAGATATACAGTTCAGTCTTTTTTTTGACAGCTAAGGCTAAAATCAAGAGATAATATAACAAATAATTGTTTTTTATTTCAGAAGACATGTTTATATTGTTTAGAGGCAGTTGACTGCTAATAAGAAAAAAAAAAGAGTATTCATGCAAATCTGCAGATTCTTCTGTTTTGAATTAATGCAATTCATATCAAAAGATTTTTAACTGAAAATCTATTCCAGAATGCATATTGTACTTTGCAGTGAGTTTTCCTTTGGTGATGGCTCTAGGTTATGACCCACAATGCCAAATATAAAAACATTTGAGTGTAATAAGAAAATAAGCCCTTCATACGAGGCGGAGAATTTAATGGGGATACCTTTCATCTGTATATTGCCATGGTAGTTTATTATTATAGAGAAGCTTAAACTGGCTTTTATTTCTCCCTTATTAGAAAAAGCCATACATTTTTAAACAAAATCCTGGCTATCCTACATTTTTTGCAGTATAGTTTATCTGCTTGATAGGTCTGTAGATGACCAAGAAAGTCATTAACATAGCTGGTTAGTACAAAAGGCCAGACTGGAAATTACCAATGGGTCATTAATGGCTGTGACTATAGATTATAGTTATAAAAATATGTGTTCTGATTCCAGAAGGTGCTGATATCCCTTTATTTTTGTTTTGTTCTTTAGTGAGATAGAAGATGAACTCAGCTGAAATCACTGATGATGATGAAGGTAAAATTTTATACTTTGTGTAATTTATAACAAGGCAAAAGTACGTGTTGAATGAAAACTTCTGTAACCCGATGAAGAGTGTAGCTGGATCGAGGAAAATTATATTATTGAGTTAAAAAAAAAAAACTGTCTGAAACATCCTACTATTTTATCCCGTGATATTTTCTCTTATATTTCCTTCCTCCCACTCAAAAAAACCCCACAAAAACAAAAACCAAAAAACTTCTTTCTACTGCTTTATTTGTTTATACTTTCAACTCCTCTTCAGGGAAGAAGCTGCCATTTACTTGATGTTTGTGACATTTACTAGATGGTTTTGGCATAACAGAAACTTGATTCTGGGGTGATCTTATCACACAGTTATTATATAAGTGATAAAAAATAGTTATGTTGCTCAAAATACATTTTTATGAAAAGAAACAAAGCGCGAAAGATTTATTTAAGGGTACCATGGTTTTCTGAAGAGAGTGCTTTATCAATTGTAAGCCTTCTCTTTTTCCAGTAGAAATTCCTAAGAAAGATATTGTGAAGGTAGAAACAGAAAACGAAGATGAAGCTCTAGACTGCTCTTTGACATCCAGATCTGCAGAGAAACCCCTCCTGGATGGTGCAGCTTCTTGCGTGCAGGAATCCAACAAGCGGAAGCAGACCCCGCTCAGCTGCGACGGCGCAGGCAGCCAGCAGGATGTCGTGTCCAGCGTGAAGAAACGGCGCTTTACGCAAGAGGTGACCTCTCCCCGCGCAGCCCTGGCTGTGCTGTTCACATCTTGTAGGCTAAGGGCGCTGCTGCTACAGGCAAAGTGCAAGTCACCTAACCGGATTTGCATTCGAATGAATTTGAGTCAAGTATGGCTAATCTGGGCCCAGTTTGTGCACATGACTTGTCTGGATATTTCTTTAAAAGATATGGGAGCTGTCATTCTTAAGAAACACATTTGTAGAGTAGTTTGTTCATTTCTTTTGGTGTTTTTCATAGAACATAAGAGCAGGTAGTAGTTTGGATTAACTACGTTTGATTAAGCTCCTTCTCGTGTCACACGGCCCTTGGATACTCAGTGGTAGAAATAGGGCTGTAACTTTGCCATCTATGAAATGGATTTTGAGGTCAGTGAGTCAGGTGTAAATGTACATATCAGTAGAAAGATAAAAATGCTGGGATGCAGAAGATTTCAACAGATCAAGAAGAGAAAGTATTACAACTTCTGAACTGGTGCAACATCCCAGCCGTGACAATCCAGCCATTTGTCTAGGCAGTGAAGGAGATTCCATGATCTTTTTAGTTATCCTTTTCTAGTGTTTCACCTCTCTAACGATGATATAATTACATTAATCTTTTCTGGAAATTAGAATATTTCTCTTTGTCCTCGTTCCTTTCATTAAGGAAAGCAAGCATTAAGGAAAGTTTTTCAGAAAACAGTCTTCTGCACATGGGAAAATTACAGTGATATTGTCCACTTTCAGGCCTGTCTTTTCCAGCTAAAATTCTAGCTTCTCTTCAGCTTTTCTGCAGGATTCACCTAAACCTTTTGTTTTTGATGTTCTCTTTAGGATGCCTGAAAAGGTAATGTCTAGTCTTGGATAGTCCCATTTTTTTTCTAATACCCCATCGAGTCGTATAACCCTTATATTTTATTGTTCTTTTTACAACTCCTGCAAGGATAGAGTTCAGTCTTCGATAGTGACATCTCCTCTAACACCCTCTAAAACAGTATAATGACCTCCTGTTCTTCATGCTCAGCACTTTATTAAAATAACCTAGATTCAAATTCATCCTCTTTCAAACAACTTCAAGCCCTGGGTTATATTTAGTTTATGACCTACTCTAAAGCACGTATCCTTTTCTGCTGTTCTGCTGCCTAGCTAGTTACTCTATGGTGTGTTTGTGCATTTCATTTCTCCTTTCTAGCCATAGCTCTTTATGCTCGTTTTTCTTGACTTCTCTCCTTCTGAGTCTTGGGGCCTCTGTTTTTTATCCTTGTGTGTGTGGTAAGGCTTTCCTCTTTTTTTTTTTGTTTGTTTGTTTCTCTTTTTATTTTTATAATTGTTTTACTTTAACTGTGGTTCTTATGGATTTTACTGTTTGCCTGTAATACATTTTAAAATTTATTTCAAATGAATCATTACCCAAGATTTATAATAAGATCAAAAGATGCACCAATAGCAATGATAAAAAGTCATTCTTAACTGACCCCAGTGAATCAACATCTTTAAATAACAATCTTAAATAACCAACCAGAAACAATCTTCTATAACTTTAAAAAGGTTAACTGTTTCTCTAGTACCACTATTTTATTTTAGTTGATGACTTCAACAATATTTTTCCTTGCAATCAGAGGAGGAAATATTAATTATTTTTGGCAATTTTGTGCTTGTAGTATATTTTTATTGTATGTCACACAGTCATCAGTGTATTAGCTATCAGCACAGCTCTACTCTTTATTATATGGTTGTACTAACAGGCTGTTGATTATAGCAATAAGTGATTTCCTATCAGAAAACTTTTCATGTTTCTTCTGTGCCACATTTCTTTATAAGAAGTAAATATTTCTCTCAGTTTCTAAAAATGATTTCCTGTTTATAGGGTGGTAAGTTTTTAAAATTTCTATGCAAAAGTAATTTCGATTGTTATGTTTGATTTTTTTTTTTTTGGTGTTTCTTGCTCATATAGTTATTCTTTTTTCTTTACTTGTATGCTAGGGTATGCTAGATTATTATGTTCAGCATTCCTACAGATATTTAGATTTTTTCCTATAAAGAATTAAATACATCATAACATTTTTAATTGTTTAAAAAATGATTTTAATACTCAGCAAAGCAATGACTAAACAGTTTTTAAAACTTGGCTTAGAATCCTGAGAGATAGTGTGAGAGATTATTTCACAATGAAATATATTGGTTAATGTTTACCAAATACTGCATTTCGTAAATGTTAAAAAATGTGTCATATAAAAACTTGCTATTGAAATGCACTATACAAACCAGCACTATCTAGTATTCTGAGTCTAATGCAACAATCTCTCTACTATTTTTTGATAGTACATTCAGACTGCTCATGTACACTGCATGTGGATATAGTATTATTTGAAAAACATCCCTGTTTAAAGATAGTGCCTTTAAAAGTTATTGGAAATAAATGAAAAAATAGTTTTGTATTAGGATTTGTCCAAAAGCTTTTGCATATGCTGTGGATAGTGCTTTTCCCAGTTAGAAGCTGCGTAGAGACAAAATAATCAGAAGCAAAATGAAAGAGTTCATCTGAAATAAAAATACTTAAATATAGGCCCAGATTGTTAACACAGCAGTCAAACACTATGTATCATCTATGCATCATCTTAGTCAAACACTATATGCGTGTTTATGAAATGCTGGTAGCCAGATTCCTTCCACAATTAGTACCAACGTTGTAGGCCACATTAGCAAAAGGGCAGAAGTCTTGCTGACCTTACAGTGGAGATTGGTCATCATTCTTAGCTTAACCACTTAATTTCTTTCAGAGAGTCATATTCAAACCCAAGAAACAAAAAACTCTATAATATTCACAATGATGAATTCATGCTGTCTAATAGATGTTCTGATACTGCTTTGTCCTAATTATGTGTCTGAGCTGTGAATTAATAGAAGTTATCCTCAGATTGCCACGTTTTATTATATAATTAAATAGAAAAAAAAAATATGGCCACGGCTCAGGAAAACTAAGAGACCCTTGATGACCTGTAGCAAGTTGTTTAATAAGGAATGAACTGAAATCATACCTCTGTTGTTGGCTTTAGTGGCAGTGGGGATTATCATGGTCCGCTGTCAGGTGACGACTATGTAGGAAAGCTGTATTTTCACCCGGAGGTACCACTCTTCCTCCACTGATGCTTTTTGGGTGGTCTGCAGCAGCTCCACTTCCAGTGGAGGAGGAGCCTGCAATTAAATGTGAGAAACTTGAAACAGAATTTGTTTACAGTTGAGTTTCTTGTGTTTTAGTAGTTCATGAAGAGCGCATTTAGTTAAGGCGCCTGCTGCAGGAGGAGTCACTCTGCAGAGGTTGGTGGTGCTCCAGGACTCAGGCTGCTCACCGTGTTCCTATCGGTTCTGCTTTAATCCCGGTGGAACTGGAGAGGCGGCTCCCTGAGCCTCTGTTAGCTCTCCTGGTAATAAGGATCCTGTGAGATGCATTGCGTTTTACAGAACGTTTCTGTACGATACATAGGTAACATCCTTTACGTCACACTCTCGTTTATCCACGCAGCCTTGCCAGCACACACAAGTTTTCAGGTGTGGGTTTGTACTGGCGTGAACGAGAGCAGAGCTCAGAAACACAGGTTCAGTTTAGCTGAGCATATGGATCGCCAAACTTAGGATAGAATCCTGCTTGTTCTGTTATCCAGCCTTCTGGGGTCTGCGTTGCTTTAGAAACTTAAAAGTCACTAGATTCAGTTTTTCACTGGAGTAAACAGATGCCATGTGTAGTGACTGCATAAAGGGACCAGATTAATTTCATGTGCTATGGTTTTGTTTTTCAGAAAGGAACCTCCTGAAAGGGGCCTTTCGTAAAGTTTCTCATTGCACAATGCACAGGATGCATTGGGGTCTTCCCTTCAAATTGTTTCAGCCTCTTAGCTGAGACCTTAAGTCTATGTTTCATCTATTTTAATATATGAATGCAAATTCTTTTTTTTTTTTTTTTTAAATCTAATTAATGTTGTGTGGAACAAGCCAAGAGGTATGATTCAGCATGGTCTCAAAAATCTGTTTTCTCGTGTTTGAATTCTGTATGTTGGATTTTATCTATTTAACTAAGAATTATTTGCAATATCCATGTGTTCGGAAAAAAAATACTAAACTGAACATTTAGTGTAAATTGATAAAATACTTGCTTCAGATTTTAAACATTGAGGAAGAGTTAGAAAGTGTTTGGGAACATGAGTCTCTTAAGAACTTAGTGCTGTTTATTATATAAACTGTTCAGAAAATGCAAAGCCCAGTGAATTTGCACTTACTTGCCTTCCAGAAAGGAAGAAATCTTAGGCTCCCTTTTCAAAAGACAGTATCAAGATGCCATATTTTTAGGTTTTTACTGTTTGAATTGAGTAGTATTTAATTTTACTCATTCTCAGAAACCTGTTCAGGAGTTGTACGACATCGTAAAGGTAAAAAACCTGTCTAAACTTTTCACACGAGGAAGGTGAGAACAAGCACAGCGCTGGTGCCTGCCAGCCCTGGTGGTGTTTTCAGGAGCTAACCTGCAGGGAATGCTGGAGCATGAAATGCAGGCGGTGGAGGCAGTGGCAAGGTCACAGGGCCACGAGTCAGGAAATCTACCTTCTATTCTTGGCTCTGCTGCTGACTTGTTGCCACGCAAGTTCTCTGCAGCCCAAGATCCTCGTGTGCGAGGTGGAGGATCACGATACTTAATGTGGGAGAGTATTTAGAGCTCAGTGGGGTAAAAGTGCTTGGGATTGTAATTGCATTTCTGTGCTAAGGGGAAAGCCATTGAACAAAACAAGAACAATGAAATGAAACTTAAAAAAAAAAATCTAATATTTAACTGAGTTTTAATTGATTTTTTTCTAATGCAGTTACTGATTTGATACATGTAACACAAGTAATCTGGAAAAAATGTGGCAGTGCATGTTTATGTAATGATAACCAGCTTAAGAGGCACACGTCTGTAGCTTACATTTTCAAGGCAGCCTTACTAATACAGTATTTATTCATTCAAAGGGCCCCCACTCAAACATGAGGAACCGCGACCCTGGCTCGCCCACTCAGGTAAACGCAGAGCAGCCAAACAAGAACAAGAATCCCAACATCACGTGGCTCTGCGAAGAGGAACCCTTCAGCGACATAACCACTCCGTCGTATAAGAAGCCTCTCTATGGCATCTCACACAAAATTACGGAGAAGAAGAACCCGCCAGGGACGGAGCAGTTTGCTTCCTATGATTCGATTGACAAGATTAACCCCAGTAGTCCCTCGCACCTTCGGACCTTGAACGATCAGCGCAAAAGGGACTGCGCTGCAGCTGCATCTGTAGCTGCCAACACGGATTCTGACCCAAATATATATTCTTTGATACAGAAAATGTTCTACACACTGAACACCCTCAACTCCAACATGACTCAGCTCCACAGCAAGGTTGACCTGTTGTCCCTGGAGGTCAGCCGGATTAAGAAGCAAGTCAGCCCGGCAGAGACTGTCGCCCAGTTCAAGCCTCCTCCCGAGTACCAGCTGACTTCTGCGGAGCTCAAACAGATCATGGACCAGAGCTCGTCAGGCGGAGACTTAGCCTGCCGGCTGCTGGTGCAGCTCTTCCCAGAGCTCTTCAGCGACGACGAGTTCAACAGGAACTGCAGCGCGTGCGGCTTTCTCAGCAAGCGCAAGCTCGAGTCCCTTCACCTGCAGCTTATCCGCAACTATGTGGAAGTTTGTTACCCTTCTGTGAAGAACACAGCTGTGTGGCAGGTGGAGTGCTTGCCTCAGGTCAACGATTTTTTCAATAGATTTTGGGCCCAAAGGGAGATGGAGAATAGTCAACAGAGTGTGCAATCATCCAGTTTTTATGAGACCGAACAAGTAGACTCTTCTCATTTTATCGAGGATAAAGAGCAAGAAGAAGCTCTGTCCTTGGACAGGAGTGGTGTCATTGCCTCAGATTACGTTCTGGATGCTCAGGATCTCAGCGAATTTTTAGATGAAGCTTCTTCCCCTGGGGAATTTTCTGTTTTTTTGTTACACAGGTTGTTTCCAGAGCTCTTTGACCACAGAAAATTAGGTGAAAGGTACAGCTGCTATGGAGACTCTGGGAAGCAACTGCTGGATCCTCATCGGCTTCAGATAATCCGTAGGTACACTGAAATTTACTTTCCAGATGTGCAGGAAGAAGAGGCCTGGCTGCAGCAATGCGTCCAGCGAATAAACGATGAGCTTGAAAATATGTATATGGATGGAAGCGAATGTGATCAGATGCGAGATGACTGTTACGATTCCTCTAGTTTACCAGACGATGTATCAATCATAAAAGTGGAAGACAGTTTTGAATATGAAAAACCTGGCAGGCGCTCAAAAAAAATCTGGCTTGTACCCATAGACTTTGACAAACTCGACTTTCCCCCTCCAGATTTTGATGTTCCTGTCCCCGATTACCTGTTGAACAAAGAACAGATTAAAAATATATATGAAAGCAGTCTTTCCATAGGCAACTTTGCCTCTCGACTGCTTGTTCTCCTGTTCCCCGAACTGTTTACTCACGAAAACCTACGGAAGCAATACAACTGTAGCGGATCTTTAGGCAAGAAGCAGCTAGATCCCACCAGAATTAAATTAATCCGGCATTACGTGCAGATCCTGTACCCGAGGGCCAAGAACGACAGGGTGTGGACGCTGGAGTTTGTGGGGAAGCTGGACGAGCGCTGCCGGCGGCGGGACACGGAGCAGAGGCGCACGTACCAGCAGCAGCGCAAGGTCCACGTGCCGGGGCCCGAGCGGAGGGAGTTCCTCAGCTACGCAATAAGCACAGAGAGGTTCCGAGAAGAGTTTGAAGGGCCGCCCCTGCCGCCTGAAAGAAGCAGCAAGGATTTCTGCAAGATACCGCTTGATGAACTCGTCGTTCCTAACCCGGACTTCCCTGTGCCTTCTCTGTATTTGCTGTCTGACAAGGAGGTAAGAGAGACAGTGCAGCAGAGCCTCTCGGTTGGAAACTTCGCCGCCAGACTTCTCGTCAGGCTCTTCCCGGAGCTCTTCACCCCGGAGAATCTCAGACTGCAGTATAACCATTCAGGTGCTTGTAACAAAAAACAGCTCGACCCCATCAGACTGAGGCTGATCCGTCACTACGTGGAAGCCGTTTACCCTGTGGAGAAGATGGAGGAAGTGTGGCATTATGAATGTATACCGAGCATCGATGAAAGGTGCCGGCGCCCGAACAGGAAAAAGTGCGATATCCTGAAGAAAGCAAAGAAAGCAAAAACAGTGACAGGCTCCTTCAGTTCCCAAGACTGCGACCACTAAAAGTTATTTGTCAGGATTCCGCGTTGTTTTAGGCTGAGGGGCCTGTCGGGAGCTGAGGACACTCGGCGTGCAGGACAGTTAGGCACTAAGATGGCTTTCAATGTGTGCGCTGCATCCGCTTGGGCACTGCAGCAATGGGAAGTGGCTCACTGCGTTTGTACATGGGTAGAGATCATAAGTCATCGGTGACGTAGCGATTGATGCCTCATTAAGAACATGATGTTCACTGGTGCAAGTACATGTATTAATCCTGTATTATTCCACTCCCCATTTCTGCATCTTTCTTTTTTTATCATCCCCCCCCCTTTTTTTTTTTAAAGCATCATTGTGCTCTTCAGGGACAATTTTCATTATACCCTTAGTGACAGTCATTTTAGTTAATTGAGAGTTTGAAGTTTAAACTCCATCAAAATTTACAAATTCCACAGTTTTTGAAAGTGCCATGTTCATTGAAAATCATTGGAATACCAGACTTTGCTTCTACAGTAATTGCAGCTCTGCGTTATCTTTGTTCTTGGTGATACTGAAAACAACAATACCGTGTCAAAAATGGTTCAGAATGGTATAATTTCCATTTTTAGCTGTTACCCATGTTTTATTTCTATAAATAAGCAACGAACTGTCGGGGCCGGGGCTTGGGAAGCGACGCGCAGTGTAAGCGCTTTCCTGCGTGGCTGCCGCGAGCCGGATCTGCCCGCGGTTCCCGTTGGGTTGCGCTCAGCGCCGCGACGGAGGGCCCTGGCCTGCTGCAGCTCCCTGTGCCAAGCAGCAGAGACCACAGAGGAATGCAAAAATAGTTTAGACCTTACTCTCTATCAGAATCACGGCTCCGAGGGGTTCCAGTGTTAGCGTTTCACTGAAGGTGCACGGAGGACACGCGAAGGTGGGTTTTACGTGAAGGAACAAGTTGTCCTCCCCGCCTGGGAGCTGTGGTAACGCGACTCGCTGCTCGCATGAATGCAGCACGACCTGGGTTTCTGAGGCGCCGGGATACGTGAGCTCCCTCCCTCATCCAAACTGCTTCAGTGCAGTCAGTAGGAATGTGGCAGGTGCAGAACCCAGTTTCAGGTGATCGGGTTTGCATCACTAACATTTTTGCCTGTAACCAAGACCACCAAGAACCCTGCATCACTTTGCTCTATGATTCATTAACTGGAGAGTGGGGCTTAAAAATTACCTTTCCTCTTCTTTTTCTACTGTATATGGTAAGGGAGAGTCACTTTTAGGTCAGTAAAGACAGTGCTTGCTTAACACTGTCTCTGGAAAGCCTTGGAGCAGCGTTGATGTTCTCCGTGGTCCTTTTTTGTTGTTTACTTAGATGGGTCATAGTATCAAATTTTAAGTCAGTTCCAGTGTAATTTTCTATTTTAGCGTTTGTAAGAACGTACAAAATACTTGATATTTTTACTTCAGATTTTTAGAGTTTATTCTTAGAATCATATTGGTCCCTTCTACTAAAAAGCAAAAAACAATTTTTTTTTCCTACTGACAAGAATTAGCAAAAATGTATTATGTTAAACCAGGAGTAAATCATAGTAGGTAGTAGTGTTTGCTCATTTTCCCCATATTCCAGCAACATTCTCAAAGAATGTATTGAATGAGGTCATGAATGTACTAAATAATAAGCTGATACTGTTTAAATCCATTTAAATGTTTCCTGTTGGCTTAAATAATAGCAGACCATGCACAAAGTGGATATCGGAGCAAAAAATGGTTATAATAAAATGAAAACATGTTACCAAAGATAAACAACTGATACCACGTCTACACCTTATCTTTCATTTTAGTGCATAAATTCAGCAACTTGAATGTATCTGAAACATATTCCTTTTGTAATTGTATGCTACATAGCACCTCTGTGAATTTATTTTACACGCACTTTTATCAGAGATACAAAATAACAGAAAAAGAGTAACAGCCTCTTAATTTGGTGTTGCAAATGGCTGACCAGAAGGTAAGAAATGTGAAGTGGGGGTTTCCTCTATAATCTACTCTTACTTATCTTAATGTCAAATGCGCTTTACAACTAAGTGATGTTAAAGCTCCCTGAAGATCTCAGTATGTATTGAACTTTTGTACAATTGGCGATGTTACCAGCTGGCATGCAAATTTGAATCATACTGGCGTTTAAATGTTGACATTTTGCAATATTTTGAATTACCCTGTCTTGGTAGGTCAAAAAAAAATCCGTCCCTTCCTATTACTAAGTAGTGAAAAGATGATTTTCACCTTTTTAAAATGACATTTTGAAAATGGGTATGGAAAGATCCTCATTTTTTTTCTCTTAGTTTCTAATAACTGTGTACATTCCTTTAATCTCACTCTCCACAAGCCTTTCATGATTCTTGTTTGATTATATATTTTATAACTGATAGAAAGAAAATACAGTCATACGAACAGCAGCATAGCTCCTAAAGAAAGCCCTTCCAGTGCACCTGAAGTCCAGCCACTTCATCTGGTTTGTCCGCCTTGTAAATAAATTAAAGGTATATTATTTTTATACAAGAGGAATGTTGTCTGGTGATTGCTTGAGTAGAGTGACACAAGCAGTGATCTTTTTTCCTATGAAGTGTGGTTTTGAGATAACCTTTGCCAGTCAGACAGAATACGTGAGGGAAAATACCCTTGTTCCTTGTGAGTGTTTAGAAAAAAAAAAGTCTGTCTTTCACAATAGTGTCTTTAAATTAACAAACGCGCCCTGTTGAAAGTGAGGCCGAGATGGGAACATTGCTGGATACTAACTGAAGAAGCGTGGAGTCTGTGTGACCATCCACACACTGGCGGCCTCTTGGATGAATGTTACTTACCAGGTCAATAATCCCTGCTAAGGTGAATAAAAAGTGTCTATATCTGCTCATTATAACTTGATTATATCAGCTTTGATAAGCATTGAGTAACTGGCTGCTAACAGCCTCCTAAAAGAAAAAGTATAATACATTTGAGCCCGTATTTTTGTCTTACCCATTTTACACAAGTGCAAAGCTTCCTTAGGAGCCCGTGAAGGCCGCCCTGGGACGGTCCGGAGGGCAGATGAAGCGCATGTTGGAGGGCATTGCCTCTGCCGGGGAGCTGACTGCGCTTGGCAGACACAAACACAGCAACAACTCTTCAGACAAGAGCAAAATCTCCATTTGAAGGCAACCGCTTCGCTATGCGAACGTGTCACGGCTGCCAAGGCGTTTTGTGTTCCTGGAAATGTTTGCATTGTTTCTTCTTCTCATTTTCTAAGTGCATATGATCTGCTACTAGCTACATCTTTACTGGATCCGTCATTTGTCTCTCTTCAGTCATCGTTTGATGTTCATGTTACAGACTAGAGCAGTGAGAATCAGCCGAAAGGCACAGGCGGGTCTGGTTTTGCTCTGAAAGTGGCTAACATGATTCTACAGTCACAAGCAGCATGGAAACAAGACCCAGGTTTTGCTGATGATTTTTTTTATTTATTTATGTTTTGTTTCATTGATTAAATGGATGCGAAAAATCTGAAAAATTCACTATGCCTTAGGCTTGCCTGCAGTGAGGATGTAGCATGAGCCGACAGGTGCTTTTACTTACCCTGCACGTTGCAGGTGACTGCACTTAAAATCTCTGGGAAAATGTGCAGAGTGGATTCAGGATCTGTTTTTTTATTATTATTTTTCTTTCCCCTGAGTAAATCAAAGAAACTCCATCAGTGTCATTGACCCAGTTTATTTACCTCCTTGGTTTGCCTTCCTGATTTTTCTCCGTTATTACTGGGGCCAATGTAGTCAGGTTTCTGGTGAAGATTCTGGGGGGAAACAATATGTTTTAAATGTGCTATAAGCTGTTTCAAATGACAAGCTGAATCATGTTTTTCTTCCCTTTCTTAATTTTCCACATGGCACATAGAAATCCTCATCTTTGTCTTCCTTCTTTCCTACCTAATTCCTTGTCTTAGTAAATAGGAAGAGGAATTTCTCATTCCCACAGTGCTTTCAAACCCTTCATTTTTACCCCCTCTGTTATAAAGTCCATCTGCATAAACTTCTCACCAGTAGTAGTCTTAATTTCTTACAAAATAAATCAATAGTAAAATACTTCAAGGTGTCTTTGTCACAGCTCCTGTGACTGCTGTTTTGAGCCGTTGGTGAGCGGGGAATTCCTCCCTCCCCGCCTGCAGCGGGAGGCTGGCGCGAGGCGGGAGCGCTCCTAACAACCCACGCATCCTGCTGCGTTCCGAGCATCTGCTCTCCCACCTCATCTGACTGGCAGGAGATTTGCCCCTGTGCTGCCATGTTTTATCCAGCACGTTCCTCTTCCCTTTTGCCATGTTCTAGATCCTGTCTTTTCTAGTCAGCGTTCACATACAGAAAAGCCTTTCATAGCTGACCAGCCTGCCTCCTTCGCCAGACCATCCTTCCTGAGGATTTCCCTGCGTTTCCAGGATCAGTGGCTCTTGCAGGCGGCCTCCTTGTGGCAGCACGGCAGCAAGCAGCGTTGCTCCTGTGCATGCAGCGTTGCTGGGTACGCAGGTGAGGGCAGCGCAGGTCTGGGCAGCGCAGTCACCCTGCGTGCTTGCCAGTTGCTCCTCAGGCATTCCAAAAGGCCCTGTGTGACCCCCGCATAGATCGTGGCTGAGGGGAAGCCTTCTCAAGCGCTCCCCTGCTGCCCGGGCATCGCATCCTGTGTGTCCGGGAGCAGGATGCACCCCGGCAGCGTTGCTGCCTCACGGAAACGCGCTTCGTGGCCCGGAGCAGGGAGGAGAGCCGTGTGGTGCCTCCCGCCTGCTGCGTGCTTGCTATGTGGGTTGTGACGGCCCCTCAGGCGCCGGGAGCAACCCATCACAGGGAGTTCTGTTCATCTAATGCTGCCGCGTTTACTGACCAAGTACTTGAGCGTGGTAGCAGGTGGACTCCGGTATCACTCATGGCCAGCGAGGCCAAGACATGTGTTTGACTTGCAGGACCCTGCAAGCCTATCTATCTATCCCATACAAAAGCACCTCCACGAAGGTCAAGCCTTCACTTTTTGGTGAAGCAAACTGGTACAGGTCTCCCTTCAGCCGTTCCAATTCTGAACTTGCAGCGGGTTTTCTCACCCACCATCCTGAGCAAGTTTTCCTTTCTTTTCCCTCTCTGTGCTGGCCTATCTGGTGGGTCAACACTGTACACCCTATGGCCTCCTGCTCCCCTGTTTGCCTTTCTGTGAAGAGGGGCTTTGGTGGCTGTTACCACTAGGAGAGGGGCAGCTCTCCGTAGGAAGCGCCTGCCTGCCGAACTTCCTAATGAGCTTTCCTGTGAGCTCAGAGCCAAGGTTTTGGGCTGATGCATTAAGCCACATTCTGGGCAAGGATATTGAGGAGTGAGCCTGCCTCTGCTCCTTCCTGTGTCAAACGTGCTGAGCAACGAGATTTCCCCTACATTCTCCCGGGTGCTGGATGTGTTGTCCTGCTCCCCTTACCAGAGCAGGCCCTTCCGGAGGCTGCATTTAACCCAGCCCACGCAGTCCCCGTCCCGAAGCGCTCGCAGCTTTGCTGGGTGGCACCAGGCCGGCAGCGCTGCCGGCACCGCGCGGTTCCCACTGCGGGAGGGCGCGAGCACCGCCGCCCCCCCCCCGCCCCTGCCACAAAAGGGACGGTAGTTTTCCAGACCAGAGCCTCTCCGTACACCTGGCGGTCTCCCGTGGTGGAGGCAGCCTCTGTGCAGCCCTACAGCCGTGCGACAGGGGCCTGTTCTACGTGACAGCGTTTCCTTGGAGCAACGCGGCACGAGCTGTTTTACAGCAGCGCTGCCTGACCTTTGCTCGGGTCTCTATAGCACCCAAGGATCGAATATCCTCACAACTGCCAGCTGAAACGGGCATTTGACAGAAGCTGAGATTGGTGTTGTTCCGCACACTCCAACAGTAAAAAACAGCACTAGTGCCCACTCGTGCTCATGCTGCGTCTCCTCTGCGACAGCAGACAGCATCTCAGCCTGCGGTCCCCGTCACGGGTTCCTACGACAAACAGTGCCTGTTTGTACTTCTGTTGTAACAGCAGTGTGTGTAAACACAAACCAGTGCCATTAACCAGGATCAAATCAGTAATTTAAAAAAAGAAAAAGGAATTTTACATAATCATAATTTTACGTAAGTATTTTCTGAGTCTTGAGATAAAGCCAAGAAGTTTATCCTGCTTATGATGACAACTTTAATATTAATTAACAAAATGACAGCAATTTAGCAGTGATCAAATTAGCCTTTATTCAATCATTTTATATAACCTCTTCTGTTTGGCGAAACAGACTGGAAATGTAAAAGTTGGGTCTTGTCTCCTGCAACGATGCCACAAAACAGAGCTAATGGCAAGAGGGAAAGGCAGAGCACGGGCGTATTGAGGCACACAACACACTAGCGCGAGCCCTTAGAAAGGGCACTCTCATTTTGTTTAACCAAAATTCATATTCAACAACAAATGATAAGCTCTTCTACAAAAAAAGTCTCATGCCACCACGCGAACTCCTGTTACTTAAGCACATCCTGTTTGGGCACTTTTAAGTTTTTCCAGCGCCTCAGAATTACTCTGTATTTCTCGCTTTCAGTCTTGTCAGATACTTTTTTTAAGACAACACGCATAACTACAGCAGTTCCTGTTTCTTTGTCTTCACCTACTATAAGATCCAGCGTGTCACCAATTTTCACCTGCAAAGAGAGAGAGAAGGGGCGGTGGTGAGGACTTTCCAGGGAGAGCAGGTCCTTGCAATTCCTGTGCCGCTTCAGTTCTGCCCCTCGACCGAGGGGATGGGGAACGCAGCCTCCCGCCGCGGCCGCCTGCCCCCACCCGCGCAAGGGCGGCCAGAAGAGGCCAGGCCGCAGCCATCCTCTCACACCCTATCAGAAGTATTAACGATTTTAAAAAGTCTTACAGTTCTACTTTTCTTCCACAGTTTTTCTCCGTTCAGCCTGAGTTCATTATTGTAGAATGCATCTTCTACTTTACTGAAGGAAAACAAGGTTTTTATTGCATTTACAGTGCGCAGCAAAGCAAGCAAATGTGTTTCTTTACGCACGCCCAACAACCTTGCTCGTGTGCAAGACACACTTCCCCAGCCCGATTTGTGCACAGAGGACACATTTACCTTAGGACAGCACTGGATGTAAAGCCACAGGTATTAAATGCAACAATTTACTGTGGGCCTTCTGTGCCACAGCTGCAGGCAATAAAAATCTGTTTCTGAAGACTTGTCTCCTAAATATCCAACAGATAATGTCCCCTCTCCTGCACCAGTCAGTGCAATCGTTTTTGAAGGATTAAGCAGTACTGTTACTATGCTGTAATATAAAGTTTTTGTACGTTGCATTAGATTAGACATCATGATATATTTTTAGAGTGCACATATATCTGGTTGAGCTGGCATTTTAAGTTTATACTTCACCTATTTCTACAGCCATTTAGCAGCACATTATTTTATCCCTTCACTCTCAGATTTTTTTGTATTACTACTTACAGTATTGTATGTTTTTTTATTTAAATAGTAAGTGATAGAAAATGCAAGCTTAGAAATATTGCGGACAGCAATGACAGTTGAAAGACAGAAAACAGGAAGCCTCAGGTAGAGAAGGTGAAACAAACAAAAACATCCCACGCGTGCGAAACATGCGTACATCCTCAAGCTATTTTTGTGTAGTCGAAAGAGCTACCCCAAACACAAGCGCTGAGCTATTCCGGCAACCGCAAGGGTAACTCTGAGCTGCAGGACACTCTGCTCACCTGCAGGCCAACATGCTTCCTCCATACTTACTTTCTTGCAATGTCTAGACCAGATTTCATGATTACATCGTATCGAAGGGACTGCACTACTTTCTCAAGATCCTTGTAATCTTTTACTATGTTGGAGTCATCATCAAATTCCTCTTCTATATCACTTTCCTCTTCCTCCTCTTCCTCTTCCTGTAGTGTTTGTTTATTCCTTTTGGAGCTCTTGTTGCTTTTGTTCCGCAGAGGAAGTACCAAGACACACTCTGGAGAAAGCCTTAGCGTGCTCGGCCTTGCTGGGGACAGGCTGGGATGCCTTACGTAGCTCACGGTGCGGGCCTGACAGCTGCAGGGGATGCTCCTCCGCCACGAAGGACGCAGCCTGGAAGGGGGGAATTTCTCCCACAGTCCAAAACAGACATTCAGTTTTCTAAAAGCAGCGATGGAGAGTCTGAAGCCGGTCATAGCATAGCCTGAAACACACAATACTCCTCTGTGAGGGAGGGCTCGGGTTTCTGCACGCCCGAAAGCCCGAGGCCGGTTCCTTCCTATGGTTAAACTCGTGCGTGGAGCAGATTTATGCTCTGGGCACAACAGGGAAGCCGAATCCAGAGGCCGAGAGCCCTGGCCGGGCTGCGTTCCCAAGTTCCCTCACGAAGGGGCACAGCCGCCCTAGGGCGCTCGGCGCGGCACTCGTGCAGGAGCAGGGCGCACACGCACACGTGTGCACACACATCCATATGCTGCTG